GACTTCCAGCACATGATTGTCAGAGCGCCCGACTTCCTCAGGTCGGGGGGAGGGGGGTTCTTCCCTCTGCAACCCCCCCCCGTGAGCAAAGCAGCCCCTGGGGGAGACCCCCCCTCCAAGCCAGCTGGGAAACCCGGCAGGCCTGGCCTTGGGGGGGAGGACAACCTTGCAGGACCCCAGGGGGGCCGTGGCTTCCTCCGGAGGGAGCCCCGAGGGCCTCGCTGGCTTCAGGGCCAGCTGAGCCAAAGCGCTTCTCAAGTGCAGAACTGTCCCACGCAACACGCACAGACACACACACACACACACAACACGCACAGACACACCGCAGGGCGTCTTCTGGGCGGGATGCTCCCAGCCGAGAGACCCCACTTTCTCTCCACTCTGTTTGGGGGCAGGGGGCAGGAGACAAAGGGGGGGGGGGGACGGGGACTCTGGGAGTTGACCGGATGTCTCCCTGGCGATGACGGTTCCTGCTCCCCTCCCAGAAGCAAATGGTGGCTCTGCTTTCTTTCTTTCACAGCACTTTTCACATCAGAATCTGACTGGAAATCCCGACCGGCTCTCCAGGCGATCACGGAGGATCACGGCCCCCATCCGCCCGTCTCCCCAACTCCCTCCTCTTGGGTGCTGAAGCCGGAGCAGGTGACACCTGCCACTCACTGGCATCCCTTTCAAGCCACCCAGACGCTCCTGACGGCCAGAGGGAAATAATAAACGCTCCAACGGAGGAGGAGGAGGAGGAGGAGGAGGAAGTAGCTTCCCTTTTAAGGACACAGCTGGGAAACGCTTTTCTAATTTAACAGCCGGAGGACATTTCTCTCTCTTTTTGGAAGTCGGAATTCTCCTGTGGAAGGAGCCAAACCGTTCCAGGCCCTGGGAAAACCCCACCAAGGCCCTGGGGCTGCTCCTGCCTGGGATCCCTCCGTGCATTGTGGACTCTGGGGCTGCATTGGGGGCGGGGGGGGGGCGGAGGCAGGTCTCAGGCGCTGGGCTGAGCGCAGGACATCACTGGGGCTGGCCCAGAATGGCCCGAAGGGGACGTTCCCTGTGGGGAGGGGGCTTCCTCACGGGACAAGGACCCCAGGCTCCTCCCTCACAAGAAAGCGGCCAGCCCTTTTCGGCTCTTCCTGGCTGTGAAATAAAAGGACCTGACTGGACAGCTAAAAAATTCTGGGATGCTTTGAATGCAAACTTCTTTCATCGCATGAGAACAAAGGTAAAAGCCCAGGCGGCTCGGTGCTCCTTTCCCATCGCTTTGCCCATGGGGGGCTGTTTCTGCACCCACCCTCGGCCTTCCGGCCTTCCTTCCTTCCTTCCTCCCTCCCTCCCTCCCCTGTGCATGGGGGGGGGCTATCGGGGGGGCTACCAGAGGTCACCCTCGCTGCGCGAAGATCAGCCATACAATCCTCCCCCCCACAGGATTTTCAATGGCCTTCTCACCCTCCGAATCCATGGTGGCGTTTCACTCATCAACACGGAAAGTGCCACCCCAAAACCCGAGACCTTTATTTCTTGGTTGGCTAAACTCTGCAAAGAATAAAGAGACGGAAAGGCCCAAAGGAGGTGCTGGCCTCGCGGAAAGGGAAGGCAATGCAAGGGCCGGGCCAGTGCCGGGGGGCGCCTGGGGGACAGGGAAGCGCCTCTCATGACCGGAGGGCTAGAGCCCGCTATAACTAGAAGAACTAGAACGAGGGAAGAAGACGAGGCAGAGACCCTAGAAAGCGTCGTGAGCCAGGCGGCCTCTGACTCCCAGACCTGCCTGGAGGGGGTCAAAAGAAGGACCGGACAGCCAGAATCAGAGTCCAGCTGGAAGGGACCCTGGAGGCCATCCAGTCCAGCCGCCTGTTCGAGAAGGAGAGTCCATACCATTCCGGACACGGGACTGTGCAGCCTCTCCTGAAAAACCTCCAGTGACAGAGCCCCCACTTCCTGGCAAGCAGTTCCACTGGTTAATGGTCTTTGCTCTTAAGAAAGTCCTCCCCTTCTGCCTTGGACCCGGGGATTGGACTAGAAGGGGGAGGGAGGGAGGGAGAGGGAGGCTCCTTCCCCTCCCAGCCAGAGCCTGGGCGGCACCCCGACCTGCCAGGACCTGCCTCCCTCCCTTCCTCCTCTCCAGGAATGTCAATGTCCCCCAGATCCCCGTCAACCGTAGCCTGGAACGGACCGAATGCTGAGCCCCCAAGCCCAGCCCGAAGGGGGTCTGTGTGTGTGTGTGGGGGGAACGAGGCCTTTTTGGCAGCACAGGAGGAAACCCAGCTGGCCCCTGGCATCTGGTGGAGGGCCAGGCAGGTCTGCCAGCAGTGGGTGGCTCCTCAGGAGGAGGAGGAGGAGGAGAAGGCGGCTGATCTGTGCCGAGTCAGCCCTTCCCAGTGACCCTTTGAGCCCAGTTCCAGGCTCCCAGGAGGTTTTCCGCTCCCGGGGGATCAGCGGACGGAACTTCCACCTGCCAGCATGAAGCTCCCGGGCGCCTCCTGCGTCTTCCTCCTCCTCCTCCTCTGGCTTATGGTGCCCCCCGAAGCAGGTAGGCCTCCTTCCCCACCTGTGGCGTTCCCCTCCCAAGCGGTTTCCGTGAGTTGCAAGGGAGGAACCGCGGTGCCGCCTCTGCCGAAGGGACCGGGACGGAGGCCGGCTGCCAGAAGGGGGGGTCAGGTGGGGGAGGAAGGGGGGAGGAAGGGCCCAAACTCCGAGGTGGGGCAGGTGTCTCGGGCAGACCCTCCAAGGCCCCAGAGGAATGGGGGAGGGGGTGCCAGGCTGGGCACTGCCCAAATCCAGATGCCCACGCAGGCGAGGGAGCGTCTGCTCTGGTTCTACGCCAGAAGGCTGGCCCACATCCGCTCCACACCCCGGTGGGGTCGCAAGGCGGAGCTCCCAGGCAAAAGGAGGGGAGCTGAGTTCCAGTCCCGCCCGAAGCACGAAAGCCAGCTGGGGGCCTTTGGGACGGCCCCTCCCTCTCCGGGAGCCAATTCCTGCCGCAGCCAAAGGATCCCACTCAGTCGATGCCAACAAGGCCAGCCCTGTCCTGGCAGGGAAGAAACCTGTTTGCCGGGCTGTGCGTTGCATTCCGTGGGGCCGAGCCAAAATCGGGTCAGGCGCCTTGGGAGCTTGCCAAAGGAAGAGGCAGGATCCTGCGGAGGGAGCCCCGTTTCCCCCAGGACCCTTGGGCCCCAAGGGAACGGGGCCCTGGCCGAAGGGGAAGCCGATCCTTTCGCCAAGGGCTGCACGGCGCCAATCCCAGGAATCTGACCGGCTGGCCGCTTTGGGGGGAAAGTGGGCGGGTCCTCGTCCATCTACCTGGGAGCAGGTCACCCTGCAGGAGAGCTGGGGAAGGCCCCCCCCCCCGTGAAAGCCATGAGGCCATCAGCCGATGGGGGAGGGGGCTCCTCTGGGTTGCAACCCCCTCGTGGCCCCTCCCTCGGGCTGAGTGGGTGGGGTGAGGCTTGGCATGCGGGGGGGGGGCTTTCTCTGGAGCGGGGAGGGGGCTCTGGTGGGATCCAGATGGATGGGTCTGGCAGGAATCTCAGCCAAACGCTGGGGGCCGCTTCGCGTGTGAGGAAAGCAACGCCCGGCACAGGACTCCGGCTCCAAGGTGGAGGTGAATCCGACCCAAAGGTTGCGAGGAGAAGCCGAGGAGACAGCTGGGAGCGCTTCTCAGAACCGACCGGCTGCGGCCCCTGGACGCAAGTCGGGTGCTTAGACCGACAGCTCCCGGTCTCTCTTCCCCACCCAGGCGCCCAGGCCTCTTGCTCCAGTCGCTGCGGGGACTCCCTCGCCGCCTGCTCCTGCCACGCCACCTGTGAGAATCTGGGACGCTGCTGCCCGGATTACTGGAGGTTCTGCCTGAAGGCCTCCCCCTCCTCTGGCACCCTCCTCGGCGGCAGAGACCTCACCCTCCTAAATGCGACGTTTGAGACGGGCGTCCCCGTGACGTGCAGGTGAGGCCGGGAAAAGCACCTGGCAAGGAGGTGGCGTCTGGGGGGGGCGGGCCCCCCCCGGAAAGGTCAGGACTTAACTGGTCAGGAAAAGGCCACCTAGTTCCCTGATCCCCGTCCTAGTCCTTCAGCGATGCTCTGCCGGAATCCGACCGTGGTTATGTGGGAGATCATGAAGATGGGATCAACTCCTCGGGGTTGGGGGTTGGTGGGGATGGGGGCCGCAGAGAATGAGCCTAATAAAACCATACATGGAAGGAGCTTCCAGCCCCCTCCCCGCTTTGCTCCTTCCCAGGCTGCCCCCCTCCACCAAGGAAATCCCCCCCCCCAAGAGCCAAACTGTAGGAGGAGAAACTGGCCGGTCTCCTTTCCCAGCGGAAGGGCTGACCCCTCCCAAATATCCTGCCCGGGGAGGGGGCGGCTGGAGGAGGAGAGTCCCCTGCTCAGGTGGCCCACGGGGGATGCCGTGGCTGATGGGACTGAAGCCTTCAGAGAGGCCGGCCCCTCCCCAGCCGAGGGACTTGAACCCTGGAGGGGTTCTCCCACAGGCGCTTCCCCCAGAGGAGGAGGAGGAGGAGGAGGAAGGCGGGTGGCTCACACCGTCCCGCGGGGCTCCTCCCTGGAAGGGCCAAGACCCCAAGAGGGGGAGTCCCAGGCGGCAGGTCTCAACAGGAGACCAGAAGCCACGGATGGAAGCCGCTTGGAGTGAAGCTTCTAAACAGGGCGGACAATGAACCCGGGGAACAGCTGCCCACCAGAAATCGCTGGAAGGTTGTTGTTTCTCAGAAGAAAACTAGACAGTCCTTGATCTGAAATGGTACTACAGGGTCTCCTGCTTGAGCAAGGGAGGGGGGGGGGGGGGGGGGCTGGACTAGAAGGCCTCCAAGGTCCCTTCCAGCTCTCTTCTAAGAACATATCCGGCCTCCGTTCTCCTTCACCGAGAAGCCACGAAGCCCCCCAGAATCGGCTGAAGGAGAGCGAGACGGAGGGAGGGATGTTTGGGGGGGGGGGGCTTCAGAAGTCACCGGCTGCCACCGACTCTCCACGCTTCGCCCCTTCCGGGAAATGGCTGCCAGAGACCCCTTCGGTACGTTTGGGGAGGAGGAGGAGGAGGAGGAGGAGGAGGAGGCCCTGAATGAGGCCACGGTGTTTCTATGCTAATTGTAGCTTTTAAATGTATCCCTCTTGTTTCTATTGTTTTTATTTTTTAATAATATTATTATTATTTCTACTGTGCGGTATTAGTCTTACGTTGTATCGTTTACGGTCTATATACGCTCAGGGGAAGGGCAGAAAGAAAAAGGGGAGGACAAACAGGCCACAAGCCAGGAGCTAAACTTTCCAAGGGTCAGAATCAACCCAGCAGGGACCCAGGAAACGTGGCCCCGGAGGGGAGGGGAGGGGAGGGGGACTGGGAGGGAAATGCAGGCCAGAGGGTCCTGGCAGAGAAAGGGGGGGGCTTCTATGCCAGGGGAGCCTAATCCCCTTTGTGGCCCCCCCCCCCCCCATGGCCCGTATCCTCCGCCCCGGCAGGTTCGCCGGGACCACCGAGACCCAGGGATACGTCGGCCCGGATGGCCGGCCGCACTGCATCTCCCCTTTGCTCTACGAACTCGGCCTGGTCAGCCTGGAAGTTTCTCGGGACGGTGGGAAGACCTTCCCTTGGTCGGCATCTTGGAGTTCGGGTCAGACGCTTCTCTTCTTCTCCTCCTCCCCCCTCCCCCCCCCCCCAAGCACGGAGCCAATAGCACCTTTGCCTGCTCCTAAATCACAAAACAGCCCAACGAAACGGTTCTGCCCTGCAGTGCGGGGTGCAGAGATGAAATCGGGGAAAGAGCAGCTGGACCGGAGCTGGAAAGCGGTTGGGGGTGGGGGGGTGGAGAGTCGGATGATTTAGCAGGACCCTCCTCCTGCCACTCCCACCCAAGCCACACCCACCCAAGCCACTCCCACCGAACTGGTAGTGAAAAAAGGTGAACCTCACCACGGGCGGGCAGCCAGCCGGGCAGCCAGGAGAAGGTCCTCTTTGCCCGGCCCCTGCGGGCAGCTCCCAACCGGCGTCTCTTTCCTTTCCCGCCGCAGTTCATCACAACAAGGTTCCCCCTTCGGAGAAAAGCACGCTGGTGAACGAAACCAAGTGGCAATACTACGGCACGCCGGGCACCGGGGGGCCCCTGACCCTCACCTGGAACCCCGAGGGGCTGCCAGCCGCCCACGTTCATCTAGAAGTCTGGGGCTACACCGAGAACGGTAGGCGGCTCTCGTTTTGCCGGCATGTCACCTTTTTCTGTGCCAGGAAGGCGGCTCGGATGGGGAGGGGACGGTGTAAGCTAAGTAGGTGGCAACCCATTCTCTTCCTTCTTTCCTTCCTTTCCTTCCTTCCTTCCTTCCTTCCTTCCTTCCTTCCTTCCTTCCCTCCCTCCCATTCTCTTCCTTCCTTCCCTCCTTCTTTCCTTCCTTCCTTCCTTCCTTCCCTCCCTCCCATTCTCTTCCTTCCTTCCCTCCTTCTTTCCTTCCTTCTTTCCTTCCCTCCCTCCCATTTTCTTCCTTCCTTCCCTCCCTCCTTCCTTCCTTCCCTCCTTCCTTCCTTCCTTCCTTCCCTCCCTCCCTCCCTTCCCTCCCTCCCATTCTCTTCCTTCCTTCCTTCCTTCCTTCCTTCTTTCCTTCCCTCCCATTCTCTTCCTTTCCTTCCCTTCCCTTCCCTTCCCTTCCCTTCCCTCCC